AAAGGAGCCCAAAAGTGTGAATCTTAAAGAAGAAAGGTCTTACTGAGGATTTCAAAGCAGACAAGATAATCTGAAACTGTTGTGATGAGAGCTTTAGGATGTTCGGGTCCTTTAGGCTGGGCACAGTCTTCTACCCTTAGATGTGGCTCCATTTGTTCAATGTGACTCATAGCTCCCCATTTCTAAGGGTTTTTAAACCACTGAATGGAAAAAAGTTTGTTCTTATCCTTCTCTGTTTATAATAACAAGAAATACTTCCTATAAGCCAAACACTCATAACCTATTCCACTAGGTATGAGGCCAAAGAAGGAAGCTATGTACTTATGTATTATGCCATAGTGTCTAGGCCCCCGGACTCATTCCCATGACATCCAGTTCTTAGGGCCTTTGTTTTTCAGCTGCCAGCAGGTTGGCAGTCATTCAATGATGGTGTCATTTGGTATTGCAGCTGATGTCACTTGAAGCAGTATATCTCAATTCTAGTCATCATGTTCAAAGAATCATTCTACCCAGATGCTGACTTCCCTCAAGCCAGACAAACGCTAAGCACAACTATTTCTGCTTGGCACGGCCTGGCAAATTTCTGAAGGCTGTGCCACGGCTCAGCGATGTTAAGCAGGTTATAATTTGCCTTAATTGTTCTGCCACAAACAGCAACAACGATTACCTTGAGGTCAGCGCCAGTCCAAGATCTCACCCAAGCCACCATCAAAACTCAAATACTTTCTTAGATGGCAAAGAAAGTTTGAATCTGACTCTTTGGCATATGTTTTGCTTAGCAGGACTCATAAATGTGTCCATGTATCTCGCTGCCACACGCACATCTGAAACATGAAGAAATTATTGGTCTCCCACAAAACAACCAGTGTTCTCTATGCATAATCTGTTCCACCTGCCATGTTTACAAGGCACCCCATGGAGAACTAGCTTAAAACCCAGCAGCCCATCTGCCTGCAGTTCTATGGGGGTAATTATTGCCTCAACTGAGCAAGGGGTGAAGCACAGCAGGGTGCTAACTACAGCAGGTGACTGATGGCCATGCCTCACACTCACCTAAGTCAACCAGCTTTCCCGGTGGCAGCCAGGGTCATGATAAAATGACAAACAAGTCATTCATAACCAGAACAATGACAACAAAAAGCCCCAATCAAGTAAAAACCACAATCCTCCACCAAAAACAAAAATCAAAAGCAGACGAGGCCATGAATTTGAAAGAGCAAGGAGGGGTATAGGGTGGTCGTGGAGGGGTTGTAGGGAGGAAAGGGAAGGGGTAAATGATGCCATTACATTATAACCTCAAAAATAAAACATTTGAAGAATTAAGTAAATAAAATCAGCCTAGATAATACACAAATAGCCAGTGAGGTCTCTACCACTTCTTATGGGCATGTTAGACACAAGGAAGACCACCTGGGTAGAGGAATGGTGATGCTATATGCCAAAACTGTGCTCCAAATGAAACAAAACACTGGCTTGACTAGAATACAGGTACATGGAAGCTAGTGTTTTATTCCCACTAACAATATTAACTGTACTTCTTATGTATTGTTTGCATAAGGCTAAGAATCCACAGTATTCCATTTGCAGTATACAACATAAGACCTGGCCTTAGTTATCTCCAGCTGCAGTCAATGCCTAGGATAGGATATGGACTGTTCCAAAGCGTCTACGTTAGTGCTAGAATGATGACCACATATGAAAACACTCATGCACTGGTGAAATGCAAAGCCCGTGCTCATCTTCAAAAACTCCGCCCACAAGCAGCCACTCAGAGAAAAAGCTCTTTGGGGACACACCCCAAATGATTGGCCAAAGGTCACACACAACCCCTTCCCTCCGAAATGAGAGAGACAATCTACAAATTAGCATATTCTTATCCAGTCATTAAACGCTCCTTTGCCACTCTCCCCTGGGAGGAAGGAAGGGGGGGGGTAGTGGAATTGAGAAGGGAAAGGAGACCCTAGGTAAAGGGAATCAGGTCACTTTGGAAATGGTGTCGGACTTTTAATTTCACTGATGAACAAAATTAGTAAAGAAACATGGTACGGGCAAAGAGGAAATGGTAACAGTTCCCACTGCTTTGTCAAGGGTAAGGAGCATCTACTATGACATTTTTATATAAATAATAGCCAGCCTATCAAAATGACAGTCTTTTATATTGAATAATGTTTGCTGTATATAAACCTATTATCCTCTAAAGGTATGTTATTTCAAAAATCGCATATTTTAGATCAGATAGTGCTCTTTGCAATTAATGCTTTTGATACCACATTTGGGACAAAGAAAATGTAATTTTCAAATTAAATACTAGAAAGGACCTTTGAGTAACACCTTCCTCAGTCCCAAGTTTTAGAATTTGTTTAACTCCCCATGGTCCCTTCCCAGCAATGAATGGAAGAACTCATTAGAACAAACACTAATGTTGAGAGGTTCATGTATGGCTGGGAGCTGGTGGCTAACCACTGTTAAGTGTTCCTGCTTCGGTCTGTCAGATAAGAGCATTTTAAAACTTGTGCCAACATTTGTTCTTTGTTGTCTGATGTAACTGCTGTGACTAGGCAGCATGCAGAATTCTGTACTAGGCAGAATTTTGGCCTCAGTATCCCAGTGTCTGGGTTAAAAATCAACCATTGCCCCTGTTGGCTGGACATGTTTTCCATTCCCTACCTCGCTGCCTGTAGCTTTAGTGTTCCCCATAGAACCAAAGCCATTTATTTTCTACCTGCCTACTGACCTCCGAAAGCATCATTATCGTGCCCCCAAAGACCTTACTGCTGTCCATCTCAGTCAGTGCAACATTCAAAAGCCTTTGTATAGCTCATCAGTGCCCTGCAGGAAAGGTACATAAGGCAGGGGAAGGCATCAGACACAAACCTTGGGGATTTGCCAGAACAGGAAGCTGGAAGAAAGAGGGAAGGACTTGGAGTAGAAGGAACCCTATCTGGAGATAAGGCATAAGGCTAAAGATGGAAAGCCTGGATTGTGGGCACCCATAATTATGTGTGCCTGCCACTCAATTCTCAGCTAGTTAATGGCAGAAAGATCAATATCTCCTTTCAATTTTCATGTCTACCATTATGGTCTTCATGAGAGGCAGGTCTTCAGGGAAGAAGGGGTGTTTCCGGAAATGGGTCTAGGAGAGACAGACTCATAACCAAAATGAACAGCTTCATTGATTCGCCTTTATGTTTCATAAAATACATTTGTTCACTTTTCTGTTGTTTTGACTACTTGTCTTCGGACAAACACTCACCTTGAAGTCAGTCACAGGGGGTGCTAGTATGTGAAAAGGCTATTAGCAGGAATAAGCTTGGAGTCCAGTTTATACACACTCACCCAAGCTCATGGGAGTGAGCTCTGAATTCTACAATGGTGTTAAAGCTAACAACCATGGACCCACTGAGCTTTATGGTCATCTTCATCTCAGGAGGGCATTACATAGCCATGAATGAGTCTTCTTTGAACTAGATTTGTTCATTCAAATGAAGGAAATACATTTCAGAATGTAACACTGTGATATCTTTGTTTTAGAATGGAGAGGACTTGAGTGTCACAGAGAAACAACCTTTACACAGTAGATGGCTACATTCCTAAAATATAACTTAGGTACAAAATGGGGTCATTTTGTGAATGAATGCCATAAGGCCAAAGTAGCATTCATCAAGACACTTGGAAAGTTCAATTTCTGTTTTAAATATAGTGGAATGCTGCAGCCTGATAAGTTAGAGCATTGGTCATAGCATACAGATCCCCTCACCCTTTTTACATAAGTTCTTTGAGTAACTTTGAAATCTTTGTGCTTTTGCAAAACACCCTTTACCACCATCAGACAGTCAGTGCTTTATATTTTACCCAAATTCCTAATATTTGTTTAGAAATGACCCATGTCTTTTTAAGATAAATGCTTCAGTACCACAGGAGCCAGCATCATGTGAGGAGATGTGAAGAGATCTGTGTCCACAAAGGGTGTTATGGCTTAAACAACAACAACAAAATCCAACCAACCAACCAAACAAACAAAAACCCCTCTTCACTATGTGCTGAAGAACCATCAGAAAGTAAAGCTCTTTGTAAGCCAGCCTCTGTACTAGGGATACACTTAGGTGAGCAGTCTTCCTGAACCTAGCAGCAATTCCATCCATAATACAAATAACCTGAATTCCAAATGCCATAAAATTTTGAGTACTGAAATAGGGCCATCAGCCATGAATAGAAAAGTTCATGTAATAGATTACATATAAAAGATAGGCACATTCAACAAATATCTGGGACACACACACACACACACACACACACACACACATATATGTGTGTGTGTGTGTGTGTGTGTGTGTAATGAAACAGTGATGAGTTTTGTGTTCAGATTTTGCTCCTATCTCTAATCTCTCTCTCTTTCTCTCTGCACATACTGCAAAACTGCGAGAACTCAAACAGCAAACATTTCTGGTAAGGAATCCTCAACCAGTATTTATTGTCCCATTTTATTGCTGTAACAAGTAAGGTTTACCAAGCTTAAGCAACTTAATCAAGATCACACAGCATCTAAGTGGTAGGTCTGGTATTCTGGCCCACTCTGGGAATCAGTTCTGGCTGGTAATAAGCCTATGCTCTTATCCACTACTGTCATGGCCAAGCCTGCAGCACAGGCCTCCTTGGCCTTGACTTCATTTGTTAGAAGTTATTTTATTTGGGGTATTTCATAATCAAGAATACATAGAGCTATAGAGATTGTTAGTATGAAACCCAAAGTAACATAATTTTTAGATTTCATAAAAGAACACACTTTAAAGTTATAGAAAGAAGTTGAATTTTACATCCCAAATTATAAGAAATTGCCTGCCTGCACTGAACCAGAAGAAATTGCTGTATTGGTAACTTGTTACAGCCAGAGAGAGTCAGTGCGCATGTCATGGTGGGTGCAGAATCCTAGTTCTAGCTCTGGGGACAGCCCACCTGCAGGCCACATCTTCCTGCCACAGTGGCCCACATTATTACCCTACCTGAGCAGAAGCTGTTACTGCTGACTGTCCTCGCTGAGCGCCCAGAGCTGCTGGGGTTGAACTCTCGGCTTTCCTCCTCCGAAAAGGGAGACTCAGAGGCTGGGGAAACCTTGCTCTGCTGCTGCTGCTGAGGCAGATGGGGCCGCAGAATCAAGCGGGGAATCCGGCTCCTGGAAACCTCCTTCTCGTGATGCTGCACCCTCTGCTCCTTCTCCAGATTGGAGAGCCAAAAGAAAACAATCATTTTCTCTCTGCTCCTGCAAGACTGTTTCTGAGAGGTCTATTTCTGAGCCCCGGACCCTCCCAGTTGTACCCCAGTTGCTGAGCTCCCCAAGTCTCCTCTTTTGATCTATAAATAAAACAAGTGAGAGTCTGCCTCTCTCTCTCTCTCTCTCTCTCTCTCTCTCTCTCTCTCTCTCTCTCTCTCTCTCTCTCTCTCAGCATAATCGCCACCCCACACCTCCAAAGCCATTCCTGTCTCACCTTCTCATCCTGTCCTTTTTCTATCACGTTTGAGCCTGGGGTTTTCGAGGACTATTTATCACTCACAGTACACCCCTGCTTTTTTGTTTTTGTTTGTTTTTTTCTCTTAATTTCTTGTGTTACTCCTGGATTAGCTGACAACTTCACTTCTGCTTTTCTGTCTTCTCACAAACTAGATAATGGATCGTATACACTTATCTTTCAAATCCCCCCTCTTCCGGACAAGGTCTTAATTATTCATTAATATCTCGGCACACAAGGATGCTGCCAACAGAAAAGCAAACACATTCAATACCCAGGAAAATGGCTCCGCCTTTTACTTCACATCTAGCTTTTGTTTTCCCAAAAGGACAAGAAAAAAACTAAAACCTTGCCATGCTTTGGAAAAAAAAAAAAAGAGTAAAAAGTATATTTTGCCAATGTTTTCATGTTTTCCCTTTAAAAGTCCCATTTCTTCATAACCAAGATGGCTCATTAGGTAAAGGCACTTGGCCAGGCCAGCCCACATCAGTTTGATTGCTGGGACCCACCTGGTGGGAGAAGAAGATTCATGCAAAATTTTTTTTTTCTGACTTCCATACTTGCTGTGGCACCCACATTACCTCCCCACACCCAAAAAATACAAGTAATAAAAATGATGTTCTGTCTCCACCATTAGCTCATTTAATGGTTCTTTACACCCCAATCTTCAGCACAGACATTTATTCAAGTTCATCGGAACAGATAGGGAAACTGAGGCTGAAAGAGGCGAAGGCTGTGCATCATCCAGAAGACAGACCTTCAGACCAGTGCTTTAGGGGTCGCCACTACTCGCTCCCCCTTGTTAAACTGGATTCCCCAGGAAGAGCTACATTTTCCCCCACAAAATCCACAGTCCCTTCCAACCTCTTTATAACTGAAAGAGGGCTTTGGCTTAAGTAGGAAATGCCATTTCCCAACATGACCTCCTGCTTGCTTCCCAAGCTTACCAGGAAGGGTCAAGGCCAAATCGAACTCCTCTGAGAGGCTCCCCAGGGAAAACCCCCTGCAGCCCGGAACCTGGCTCAGGCATCCATGCTATCCTGGGGCTACAAGCCACACCCAGACTCCGGATCGTCCAGCCCCTCAGTCACCCAGGAGGTATCCCACGCCAGCCAGCCACTCTGCTTGGCACACTCTTGAGCTAGGTCACTGTCACACTGCAGTCCTTATTTCTCAGTCACGAATGACCAAATTCCTTTTGCATAACACACACACACACACACACACACACACACACACACACACACACACAACACACACACCCAGAGGCAAACACATGATACCAGCTCAACTCACAGCACCAGGAGCCAGGACTAACCCTCTAAAGTCAATCTTTTAAATCCTCATAGTAATCCCCCAAATCTCTTCCTGTAGTGTCACCTCCCCATCTGCTATAACCCCTCACCAGCGGATGACCCAACCTCAGCTTTCCTGCAGTCCCCGGACTCTGAACATCAGGGTCCATGTCTCACCTGGCTCTCCACTAGGTAGGCTGTACCCATCTTGTCTTTTGCTAAAGCACCCTCGGGACCTGTCACCATGCCCGCACACAGGGTCCCCTTACCTTGCTCTCTCGGAGGGGCCCCATCTCGCCGCTGCTTGCCGGCTCCGCACGCCGCCGCCGCCGCCGCCTTCCAGGAGGAGGCACCTGTGAGCACCGAGAGAAGTAGGAGACTGTGCTGAGCCCGGGGCTGCTTGCGGTGGCAGCAGCGGGTCCGCCGCGTCTCCGCCAGCGGTCGCGCTCGGCACCGAGGGCGCGCCCGCCGCCCCGCCCCGCCCCGCCGGACACGTGGTGCCGCCGCTCGTGGCCGCTCGGGAGGCGTCTCCCGGTCCCCGCCTTCACCTGCAGCCGAAAACAGCTGCCTGACATCTCCGCTCACCGCACCCACCCGGTTGCCCGCCACGTCCAGCACTCAGTGCCCCTCCCTCCCAAGCCTAGCCCGACCCACTGCAGTCAGGCTGGGGCTTATTCTCAGCATTGCCAGCCCAGATGTGCCCCCTCTCATTTTCTTTTGCTCCTGGTCCGGGATTGGCAGGGGGTATAAATTGGATGGGGAAGGTGAGAAAAGATGCGACATCAGATGACTAAGATGGAGAAAGAGGGAAGAGTGACCCTCTACACTCGCTGTCCCTCAGTGACCTCTAGGTTTTAAGTCAACACGTGATTCTTTACCAGGGCATCGCCTAAGGGAGATGGGGCGGGTTCCCTAGTCCTGAAACCCAGGCAAGCCAATGCTGCGGGACTGACACAGCATCTGAGCATCTGCGTTGCAGCAATTTCTTCCAAGGCTGTGGTTCCCCTTGGTGGGATTTGCATCAGAAGGGCTTAAGGTGGCAGGGAAACACAACTGACACCAAGAAGCAGAAGGCTTCCCACACACAGGCTTCTTAACGGAGCAGACTGCTCCCTGGCTACACCATGAAGGCCCCGATACAGGCTGTAGAGGAGACTGGACACCTGTACTTGGGACCCAAAGTGAAGCCAGCACACCAGACCCTCCAAGTGCAGACCCTTCTCCAAGTGCGTCCCTGTCAACACAAGGGATATTAATACCTACTAGAAGGCAGCTGGGAGGGGTAGAGAAGGCAAACAAAACAGCTGTATCCAACTGACAAAGCAGACTCTTAGAGGATGGCTAGATCAGGTCTAGGTGATCCAATATCTGCCTGCATATTTTATGTTACAGACAGAAAAAAAAAAAAAAAGAAAAGAAAAGAGGAAAAAAAAAAAACGAAAGAAAGAAGCATTTGTGGTGCAGCCAAATATGTTTAAAAAATCATAAAAAGTCTCCAAGGGCAGAAGAGTTGATAGCCTTGCTATCTTGCCTGGTGGCAGACTTCAACTGGAAAAATGACCTACACGCCCTTTACTCAATGTAGAGAATATTCCAGGTAATAATGTGCATGGTGAACAGTCGCCACACCCTAAGGTCCGGTGTGCAAGGGTTATGACTGTTGGTGACAGGACAACTTCCACCATCTCGTTCACATTCCTGTGAGTAGCAACTCTGAAACCCAGGAATGCACTGAGGTCACGGGGACCCTGAAGTTGAGGATTAGAGGAATCAATTTCTTGGTTTCTTAAGACCCCAAGAGATTGCATTCCACAAATCCTTATCTCCTTTCCATCTACTTAACAGAGACATAATCTTAGGATTCTCTGGCGGGGGGGGGGGAGGGAGAAGAGCTGATTAATTCATTCCTTTCTCTTCCCATAAGTGTCTTAACCATGGGCCTCACCAAGGTACAGCCCAAGATGATTCATACAATTTATTATTTCTAGAATTATATGCCAGGGCTTGTAAATGGTGAAATCGGGATGAACTATGGATTTCAAGAGTTGCTTCTGCGCTACCTACTGAAAATTGGTAATTGGTTGTAGGGGCCTAATAGCAGAAACTGTCCATACAGTTGTTCAAATTGGAATCTCAGAGGCAGTCTAACATACTCCAAACCCCTCCTTTGCTTTCCTCTTCTTCTCCTGTGACCAGAATCACTATTCATAGTGATGGAAACTCCACTTCTGCCTATCCTAGTAACAGGACTTGAATAGGACCACACTTGTCGACCATTCACACTCATTACCTTCCTTCATTTGGGGTCTAAATTGCTCTGAGTTCTTTCCATAGAGGGCCAGCTGAAGTTGCTCTGCTTCCTGTCTCACATCCATATTCTTTTCTAACCAATTAGTTTTTTTTTTTTTTTTTTTTTTTTTGTATTCTCAGAGCTTTTATGGAAATAACATTGCTCACGGCCTTCCTTGATTTTACTTGGTTGGAATATTTTTTTTTTCTGTTTGTTTTGGTGTTGTTTTATTGTTTATTTATTTGGGTACTGCTGGAGACTAAACAGAGGACCTTGTGCTTGCTAAGTAAGCTCTCTGCCAAGAAAGTCTTTGACCACTGACCTCTTTTATGCAAAGCTAAGTCAAATCGTACTCCATTAAACTCATTAATGACTCTCTCTTTTCCAGCAGGTAGTATTCAGACTTCCTCCCTCATTCCCCCTGATGGTACCAGGGCTTCTTTTTCAAGCTCTAGCTGTTATATTTGCCTCTCCTTCTCTACAGAGGCTCCCTACCCTCCCACAGCACATCCCCTCAGCCTGCTGCTCTCTCCACATGCAAATGGTTGCTGTTCCAATTGTAGTCCTTCAGATCTCTGGAGGGTTCATGGTCTTTTCCCTGCAGAGTTTTGCACACTCCTGGTCCCCCTGTTTACATTTCTTGCACTCTATCCACCCAGCCTCCTCCATTCTGAAAGAGAGTAAGTTCAATTTTAGACAGTTTCTTCCAGGAAACCTCCCCGATCCCTCCAGGCCACCTGTGCTTACCCTAGGAGAGCTGTTATGATCCTATTTCAGGACTCCCCACTCACTTGTCTTCATCAGGCAGTGCCTGGCACAATTCCTCCCATACAGTAGCATCAGTGTATAACTGCCAAGTGAATGGATGCCGAAATGAATAGATTCCACAACCCCATATAGGGCCCACTGGTACAGGATGAAGACCATAGATGCAACTTGTGTTTAGCAGATGACTCAGATAAAGCTGCCTCCAATGTGTCTGCGTTTAATGATGGGATGTGTGCCTAAAAAAATCCAACATGTGCTCAGTGAAAGCATTTACTGCAGAAGTGCTGGCACTGAGAGGCTGTGCAGTAGCCTTGCTGTCACCATAGCAACCTTACCGAGGGAAAGGCTGATGGTTTACTCTTCAGCTGCCTCTTAGCTCTGTACTTTTGAGAACCAAGCCTG